GTAAGATCCAAATTACTAGAAAACATGTGGAGAGGAAATCGCAAAAGGATTTGGAATTAAATGCCGTGAGTAGTAGAGTAGTTGTTAGTTGTTGAAGTAAGTTAATGCAAAGACTAAAGTGGATGATTAAGTGTTGTTATATAATCGACCATTATGCGGATAGGTTTGGTCATCGGGCAGTGCACACTGCAAATAACAAACATACTCAATAGTAGGAAGATATGGGACGTCTCGTTAGTGGAGCTACTCTCTTGGCTTTGTTATGTTTCCATGTTTTTGTTGTGAATGTTTCAGCGAGAAATGGTGTAATCTCTAGCAAAGATGAGGAGGAGAAGACGTTGATCGGAGGTGGCAAAGGTGGTGGCTTTGGCGGTGGATTTGGAGGAGGAGCCGGAGGTGGATTTGGAGGAGGAGCAGGTGGTGGTTTTGGAGGAGGTGGTGGTGCTGGTGGAGGCGGAGGAGGTGGAGGAGGTTTTGGTGGTGGACATGGAGGAGGTGTCGGAGCCGGTGGTGGCTTTGGCAAGGGTGGTGGAGTTGGCGGTGGTTTCGGAGGTGGGGGTGGACACGGTGGAGGGATCGGTGTCGGCATTGGCAAAGGCGGTGGCCTTGGTGGTGGAATAGGCAAAGGCGGTGGACTTGGAGGTGGCATTGGCAAAGGCGGGGGCATTGGTGGTGGAATAGGCAAAGGTGGTGGAATTGGAGGCGGTATTGGCAAAGGCGGAGGAATTGGCGGTGGAATAGGCAAAGGCGGAGGAATTGGCGGTGGTATCGGCAAAGGCGGAGGAATTGGCGGTGGAATAGGCAAAGGTGGAGGAATTGGCGGTGGTATCGGCAAAGGAGGCAGCATTGGTGGCGGCATTGGAAAAGGCGGAGGGATTGGTGGCGGCATTGGCAAAGGAGGTGGCCTTGGTGGTGGAATAGGCAAAGGCGGTGGACTTGGAGGCGGCATTGGCAAGGGCGGTGGCATTGGTGGTGGAATAGGCAAAGGCGGTGGAGTTGGCGGTGGTATCGGCAAAGGCGGAGGAATTGGTGGTGGTATCGGCAAAGGCGGAGGCATTGGTGGCGGCATTGGTAAAGGCGGAGGCATTGGCAAAGGCGGAGGGATTGGTGGCGGTGGAGGTATTGGCAAAGGTGGCGGCATTGGTAAAGGTGGAGGTATTGGCGGAGGGGGTGGATTTGGCAAGGGCGGAGGCATTGGTGGCGGTATCGGCAAAGGCGGAGGTATCGGCGGAGGGGGTGGATTTGGTAAGGGCGGAGGTATTGGCGGTGGAATTGGCAAAGGCGGAGGCATTGGTGGCGGTATTGGAAAAGGTGGTGGAATTGGTGGCGGCATCGGCAAAGGCGGAGGCATTGGAGGTGGAGGAGGTTTTGGCGGAGGAGGGGGATTTGGGAAAGGTGGTGGGATCGGTGGTGGAATAGGCAAAGGAGGAGGATTTGGTGGAGGGGGTGGTTTTGGTGGAGGAGGTGGATTTGGTGGC